ATATATATATACCAGACAAACATATATCTAGTAAATGCTAGGGCATTCACGAAGGAACAAGATAGTTCTAGAAACGTGGCGTGACACTAGTCACGTGACCTCGCTGACGCAACAATATGTATGCACATGCAATGCATGTTGGCTAGTATATATATATGTATACAGGCTTTATATTTTTTAAGTTGTAAAGCCGTGTATATAAATAATCATATAATATTTTCAACTTGTATGGCTGAATGCATATGTATTCAATAGAAATATTAGACAATGTACCACAATATAGTAGTATATGTTTACAAATAACCATTTTTAATATTTCATATAGTTGTTTTATTTTACCCCCTCTTCTTCCTCTCCTTAACAGTTATGAATTAATTATATTAATATACCTTTCCCCCATCTATTTCTGATTGAGTTTGTGTCATGACACTTCTACTACCCTATTCCACTGTGACGACCCTAAACTCTGGTGGGCCGTCGACGATGCATACTTTATGTCAAACTAAATATTTTCTAAATCAAATATATAACTACAAAATTTCAGCTTCACTTTCGCCTAGAATAACACTAACTTTTCCCATCTCCTACTTGCACGATTCCTGCCATTCCTTATAGTCAGTTGCAAGAATGGTTACTCTATCTGCAGTATCTATAAATTCCGCAGTCAGGCAGTGTGGAGTATAATTCGACACTTACCATCAGCCATCACTGTGGCTGCCGATTCAATGCTCGAAACTGAGCTTGGTGCTATTTTTTAAAATATGGCTTAAATATTTATGTTGTGGGAGACAGCCTTGACGTTTATATAACATGGCTGAAGTCTATTTTGCAGTAGTAAAAAAACTGCGATTTTGTCAGCAGCGTAGTATCCGAAAGGGCAGGAACCCTGTATATAAACAAATGATACGTGACATCAGTACAGTTGCAACAATAGGTTATTGACCGCTATGGTACCTGTTTCATACTTGCCATATAAACATTAAATTACATCGACGGCCTGCACGCAATTATATACACATGCATGCATATTAGATTATGGGGCTCCATATAAACCACAGACTACATTAAAACAATTTGCCGCTCTTATTTGCTAGGTAGTCAAATAAACTTAAAACTACCATAAATAATACGAAATAATGTGTTTAGTAATACTCTCCAAGTTTTATTACAATACTCACAGCCATTTTTGCTGTAGGCTGGTGGAACAATATTAAATAATAATGAAGAAAAATAAATGGACGATCCCTATTATGAACTATTACTGTGGTTAATGATACAAATTTATTGTCATTACATTATATTTATTACAAAAAATTGTTGACATTTTATTTGTTATGAATATTGGTTTGTTTGTTTGTTTGTTATGGATTTCGCGCAAAGCTACACGAGGGCTATCTGCGCTAGCAGTGTAAGACTAAAGGGAAGGCAGCTAGTCATCACCACCCACCGCCAACTCTTGGGCTACTCTTTTATCAACGAATAGTGAGATTGTCCGTCACATAATAACGCCCCCACAGCTGAAAGGGCAATCATGTTTGGTGTGACAGGGATTCGTACCCGCGACGGTGGGCGGTGATGACTAGCTGCCTTTCCTCTAGTCTTACACTGCTAAATTAGGGAAGGCTAGCGCAGATAGCCCTCGTGTAGCTTTGCGCGAAATTCAAAAAACAAACAAACACAACAGGCTTAGAAAAAGTGTATTTAACAAAGAACTATTAGTTAAAAAAGTTTAGTGTCAAAATAAAATAAAATGAATTTCATAATCATGTATCACTTTTATCCTTCATAAAATGTGTTAATAGTTTTTTACCACATACATGATTCGTTTCTAAAGAATATGATAAGATACAATTTGCTAAAAAAAATATTGTTTATGAAGAACTATTTTAATATTTTCAGAACTAGCGGCTTATATTAAGGATGTGTATTATTACCATGGTAAAAGTGGCATAACACATTGATTGTTCTAAGTACGAATAGCCCCTTCAGGCTTTAGTGTGAGTTGTTGATAAATATAATGGACAGATGATACTGAAGGGAAAATTGTACTTCTGTGCGAGGGTGAATTAATGGTTGCGAAACTTCAATGCTAAGAATTTAAAGTTTAACATTTGGGTAGTTTGTGTATGTATGGCTAGAAAAAAGAAAAGAAAGGTGTACAAAATTGATACCTTTGTTGTTTGGCAAATGTCGTTATGACAACCACTCTCGATTTGTAAATAAGAACTGTTATTATATAATATGTTGATTTTACAATCAAAATGTTCATACTTTATGACGCAAAAGGCTAGAAATTGTTGCATTATTACAAAGAAAAACTCGCTTCGTGATCGTGAAAACTCTATTAATTGTTTTAATGCTTTAGCTTTAACTTAGGTTAACAGTCTAGTATTCCTAGATTCCCTGATTATTCCTCAGAGTACACACGTCGGAGCCGAAGAACAACGAGAAGAAAATAACAGAATAACACTTACGTAATAACAATTTTGGAAAAGAAATACATAACGTTGAGCTATGTGAGTAACCTGGCTAACAGGGTAGTATCTTTACTTTAAACTGCATTAAAAGTCGAGAATTAAAATAATACAAACAAATTATTCTGTCGGCCTAATGAAATATGGAAGAATCGAGTAGAGAATTATTTTAATAAATTATAAGTAAGCTGTCAGTTCTAAAATAATTCCATTCAGTGTACAGTACATAAACACAAAACCATCTTGGTTTTCAATAGTCCATTCTTTTATTTGTTATTTAAACCCTAAACATTGCAACGATCAATAATTCCAATGACTTTCGCAGTGATACAATCCATGAAAATTGCATATTAATACGAACTATGATAAATGTTCATATTTAATAACGTTAGAATATGAAATAACAAACAAACATAAACTAAAATAGCAGAGCACAATATTACTAGAACTGCCGAGAATATTTTTGGTTGTTAGCTTATTTTTATCTTATAGCACCAAATAGTTTGTTTGTCAGTTAGGAATTTATCAATATTAAAAATGGATTTTACATATTACAATAGAATTTTTACGAGAGAAACAGTGAACTAAATGGTTGAAATGACTGAGACATTTACCAGTTTTCACGAGTTAACTGTTCATTTGAGGAATACTTTTTATTAAACTGTAACGTGAATTCCATCTGAAACGAAGACAAGATTTAGGTAATATGCATAGGCTTTCTCTTAATAGTTTCTTAGGAATGCTAGTACAACAGATGTACAAGAAAGAGCGAAGTAGGGTGCTTACTTAATCCATATAAATACCATGATACTTGACGTGCGTATCATCAATATTTATAGAGGGGCTTAATAGCATAAAAATATGAAACTACTCTTTTATGGCGTACAATATTTTGAATACAACAGTCTTCTTTTTTTTTTCGCTTTCAATTATATTATATTCCTAACTATTCCCTCCTGGTGGCTCAGCGGTAAGCTTGAGAACTTTTAATGATACAAATCAGAGTTCGATCCCTGCAGTGGGTACGGCACAGATAGCCCACTTTTCAGCTTTGTGTTTAGGAGCAAAAACAACAACCATAGATAGGATTTTATACTGAATTAGTGTTTTACAATTTTGTATTATTGTCTGTTTGTAGTTGAGCACAAAGTTACACAACGAGCTATCTGCACTCTGTCCATCGCGGGCATCGAAACCCGGTTTCTAGAGTTGTAACTCCACAGACATGCCGCTGTGCCATTGGGGGGCATTTTATTATTAATCTTATAAGATAAATAATAATAAATATGCAGCCAGGAATCTATAGCATGTACTGTCTTCACGGAATAACTTTTGTAATTTTCAATCTAAGTCAAAAGAAACTGTTTATAATTGTTAAACAACGAAGTTCTCGTCCAAAGAAAACACACACAATGGAATAAGTAAAATATATCTGTCACAACTTTATTATCAATCGTATTACTACTTTCAACTTTGTGAGTGGCTCTTTTCTTCATGACACGTAGTCATATATAACTTTGTATGGAGGGATTAAAATGTTTTTTGTTCATATTTACAAATACTGCAAAATTATGTATAAACGGTTAGTTGGATACCCATTTTATAATCGTGTGTGACTCAAATCGTATGACAAGCAACAATAATCTTCTGACTCTTGAGCATCCTTTGATATATACATAACCAGTCAACGAAGTCATTTAACTGTTTTAATTTTACATTTCATACTCGTATTTATGCATACGTATGAATGCGTTAAATATATATATATATTGCGTATGAATGTGTTACACACACACACATATATATATATGGGCCCAGCATGGCTAGGTGGTTAGGGAGCTCGACTCGCAATCTGCAAGTCGCGGGTTTGAATACCCGTCCCACCAAACATGCTCGCCCTTTCAGCTGTGGGGGCGTTTTAATGTGACGGTCAATCCCACTATTCGATGATAAACAGAGTTACCCAAGAGTTGGCGGTGGGTGGTGATGACTAGCTGCATTTCCTCTAGTTTTACACTACTAAATTAAGGACGGTTAGCGCAGATAGCCCTCGTGTAGCTTTGCGCGAAATTCAAACAAACAAATTTCCTTCACAAAGAAGATGTATTCATTGTAATATATACGGTAATAAATGATTCTATGTAATGATGATAAAATTTAGATAAAGAAAATCACGGATTTTGCTCTCACACACACGTATATTAGTGTGTGTGTTCGAATCTCCGTCACACCAAACATGCTCGCCTTTATCAGCCGTGGGAGCGTTATTAAGTGACGATCAATCCCACTATTCGTTGGTAAAAGAGTAGCCCAAGAGTTGGCGGTGGGTGGTGATGACTAGCTGCATTCCCTCTAGTCTTATACTGCTAAATTAAGGACGGTTAGCGCAGATAACCCTCGTGTAGCTTTGCGCGAAATTCAAAACAAACAAACTATTATTTAATAACCCCTAAAGGCTAAATAATTATTCCAAAAACAGAAAATACCACGGAACGTTTTCAACAAAAACTAAAAGTCATATCGCTTAAATGAATGATTGATAATATGTCTTCCACGTTTATGAAATGCGCATTTTCGAGGCCTTACAGACTTCCTGCAGTCTTAGATTAAATTCCAGAACAATATGGTTCGTCGCGAATGGATTCCAACGGCGAACTTACCGTTATTTGTCGACTGATTTTAATATTATTAAAGTGGACCCGCAGAGCTAACTTCATGCCATGCGTCACGCATTCTCAATGGTCACCTTATAATTCTATTGGTCGGCAAAACGTCGTATTTACTTCATAAAGTCTTTCTTTAGGCCTATTCACTAAACATCTACCTACCTTTGATAAAAAACAAGATAAGTAGGCGGGGTCTGGTAAAATCCTTACTTAAGGACTGGTCATTCACAGCGAGTTTAGTCTGTTTGGTTCAGTAATCACATTGAAGAAGTATTTCCTAACCATGTGGGAGAGATGCCACCTAATCTTTGGTATTGCTTTGGCAATAGCACAACTTTTATTACCAGCTGCATTAAAAGAAGAAAAGCAAGTTGACCCAACAACCGGTTCATATTTTGACGTTCCTTTAGATCACAGGGATCGCTTCCATCTTTACTGGACGATAAACTACGTGGACAGAGAGGTCATTATGGAAGTCAGAGCATACCTAAATACCAATGACTGGATCGGAGTTGGATTTTCGGACCGAGGCAATATTTCCAGTGCTGATCTTTGCATTTTTTGGGTGGATAGACAGGGTGATTCGCATTTTCAGGTGAGGTTCTACGTGATTTTACGTTGTGGATGCGACAGAAAAAAAAAAGACATATTTGGATGACACTATAACATTGAGCTATTTTGTTCTACTTAAACAGAGGACTGAGACAAAAGATCCTAACGTCGATCTGTTTGTATTTTACTTGAACAGCGGTTTTGAGGCAAAGGTTCTTAACTCTGACCTATTTGTATTTTGCATGAATGGAGATATTGTATTTCAATCATCGGCTATCATATACGTACATGAATGGAGATATTGTATTTCAATCATCGGCTATCATATACGTACATGAATGCACTACTGAAATAACATGTTAGCATGTTCCATTCTTCTTGGGTGCTTTTTTTATAAACAACTTACATAAAGTTTCAATGCTGATAGCAGTGTCGTAATGATTATTTATTAAAGCTAGAGCACCCAGTCTTTCTTCGATTTATGTACACCTCGTGTAATTATTTAACGTTGACTTATTTGTATTCTGCATGAACGGAGATTTTGTGGTAAATGCTCTTAACGTTGACTTATTTGTATTGTGCTTGAACGGAGATTTTGTGGTAAAAGTTCTTAACGTTGACTTATTTGTACTGTCTGAACGGAGATTTTGTGGTAAAAGTTCTTAACGTTGACTTATTTGTATTGTGCTTGAACGGAGATTTTGTGGTAAAAGTTCTTAACGTTGACTTATTTGTACTGTGCTTGAACGGAGATTTTGTGGTAAAAGTTCGTAACGTTGACTTATTTGTATTGTGCTTGAACGGAGATTTTGTGGTAAAAGCTCTTAACGTTGACTTATTTGTATTGTGCTTGAAGAAAGTTTGTGGTAAAAGTTCTTAACGTTGACTTATTTGTATTGTGCTTGAAGAAAGTTTGTGGTAAAAGCTCTTAACGTTGACTTATTTGTATTCTGCATGAACGGAGATTTTGTGGTAAAAATTCTTAACGTTGACTTATTTGTATTGTGCTTGAACGGAGATTTTATGGTAAAAGTTCTTAACGTTGACATATTTGTATTCTGCTTGAACGGAGATTCTGAAGCAAAAGTTCTTTACGCTGGTCTACCTGTAGTACCTGAACACAATTGTAGATAAAACTCATGTCGTTGACCTGTCTATTTTTGAGTGGACAGTTAACTTCTTATTAAGGTAAGGCCCCCAGTGGCACAGTGGTATGTCTGCGGACTTATCCTGCTAGAAACCGGGTTTCGGCACCCGGGGTGAGCAGAGCACATATAGCCCTTTGTGTAGCTTTGTGCTGTAGTTCTCACTGTAGTTCTGATTGGTAGTCGTTTATTAACATCACTGGTTAAAGGCTCTTAGTGCTGATATTCTAACGTTGTCTTAGAAAATATTTTGACACTTTAATAACATTTTTAACGTTATTTTCTGTTTCTTGTAAGTCAATACAGATGTTTAAATTATCAGGATAATTATACCTTTAGTACGGTTTTTACAATTCCAAGGGGCAAAGTGAAACTGTCTATAAGTTATCACATAATAAATAAGACGTTGTGTTGGACAATGATGACCGTTTTCATCATGAACTGAGTATGTAGGTAAACTGGTTGTTCAAATTTTAAGTTTTTTATAAACGGTATAGTATGAATTTCTACACAGAACGGTTAATAATTTCAAGATGAAGGTTTCGTTTACCCTTTAGACACTGGGGACTAATTTGTATTTTATTAGAACGATGTTCCAGTTGACACACTTTCCACAGACCCTGTAGTGTGCGTGCACGGACGTAGGCTTCCAAATCCACTTGTGAGCATTTTTAAGACACACAAATCTATTAAAGTTGCATGTGGTCAAAAGAGGAATGCTGACATTCCAGTTACTTAGACTATCTCTATCATGAAAACAGCCACTGATATCCAAGTGTGCCTGGAAGTTTGTGAACATCAAGATTGCAAGAGTTCGTTTGCTTGTTTTGTTGAATTTCTCTCAAAGCTAGTTGAAGGCTATCTGCGTTAGCCGTCCCTAATTTTAAAGTGATAGACTAGGAGAAAGGTAGCTAATTAATGAACTTTAAAGGATGAGAACATTGGAGAACATTAGTGTGAGAGGTAGTTTCGGAGACCGTTGCATATGGCCGAAAATATCGATAATAACGAGGGATATTTAGTTGATGTTTGTTTGTTATGAATTTCGCGCAAAGCTACACGAGGGCTATATGCGCTAGCCGTCCCTAATTTAGCAGTGAAAGACTAGAGGGGATGCAGCTAGTCATCACCACCTACAGCCAACTCTCAGACTACTCTTTTTACGAACAAATAGTGGGGTTGACCATCACAATATAACGTCCCCACGGCTGAAAGGGCGAGCATGTTTGGTGGGACGGGGATTCGAACCAGCGATTCTCAGATTGCGAGTCAAGCGCCCTAACCATCTGGCCATGCCGAGTCTCAGTTGATGAATCAATGCATTCTAATCATTATAAGTTTAGTATGTCTGCGGACTTACAACGCTAGAAACCGGGTTTCGATACCCGTGGTGGGCAGAGCACAGATAGCCCATTGTGTAGATTTGTGCTTAATTTCAAACAAACAAACAAACATTACTTACTGGGTTAAGATTTAGTGTATAGGTAGCCTTCTTTGATCAGAAGTTATTGATAATTGTTTGCGTTTTCGGATATTCGCATGAAGCTACACAGGGGCTATCTGCACTAGCCGTCCCTAATTTTAAACTGATAGATTAGAGGGAAGGCAACTAACCAACAGCTTCCATCGTCATATCTTGAGGTACTCTAATCAAATAATATAATTTCACCATCTCCTTAATAGCGCACTCACGAAAGGCGATCTTGCATCAACAGAATATGAACCCCCATGAATCCTCGGATTCACAGTCTGGCACACTAACCATAGGTCACGTCCATATCTATACTGATAATTAAATGTTCTGTTGTGCGAATTTTTCTCCTTCAATGAAGAACACTGAAAGTTCTCTCTTTGAAATGTTGAGTTCTTTGATTCTACATTGTCTAACAACTTTGCTACACGAATATTTTCCCCCTAAAAGGACTATGACATAATTCTATCTTTCGTGATATTGTGCTGTCGGGAATTCGCGATGAAAAAACGTACAGAGGCTGAGCAACGTCCATGTTGCAACATCTAGTCTGACAACCATGCATCTGTAGTATAGTTTTTATACAAAAAGAATCCGTCATAAAGTTACATGTCCAAATCACACCACTCCTCACTGCATGCTTTCTATATTCCATCTAGTGCTCTTTTCAACAATCCGATCACACAGAAATCCATTGTCTGGCGACTTGACCAGCATGTCTTCGTACGGAATAGTATTATTACCCATTTTATTATCCGGCTGCTTAAGGTATGCAACGTTGAACAGATATATCACAGAAATAACTTGTGTCTCTTTTTTCAGATCAAGATCCTTCTTCAACGTGTTGCGTCATGTTTTCTGAGGCACGTAAAAATATATTGCCACTGATATTTGTCTTTCTTGGTTTCTCACTTGTTACAAGACTTCACTCTTTGCTTAACACACCAAGTAGATTACAAGAAATACTGTAACTATTAATACGCACATCAGTGCACACTGGAAAGACTCGGCCATGTCCCTAATTCTTTAAAGAGCTTCTTACTACCATAGAGCAATCATACACATACACACATATACAAATGGGGCGAAATCGGGGGTTAGGTTAAAGTACTTATATTATTTCATTCGAATGCAAAAAAAAAGCTTAATAATATAAGTCAAATAACAAAATAAATTTAACAATGTTTCCACTTTTAATAAATTGTGTAGTTTTTGTGTTTGTGTGGATTGCTCGTAAAAGACAATACAAATTTACACAGTAAGACATTATTAAAATCACATGTGAGTATTTTGTTAAGCAATTAAAGCTCGTTGTTAAATTACTTTAATAATTAATAGGTAGAGTTAATAAAATTGTGATTAAATTTCATGATTTTGGAAGTTAATATAGGTCCGAGTGAATTATATACGAAGCTAAATCATCGCCATCACTGATTGTGCCTTCATCATTTTTAACATCCCACACAATAGTATAGCAGCATATCTAACTTCAAAGACAATAGTATAACATCATTTCTAACTTCAGACTCAATAGTATAGCATCATTCTTAGCATTACACACAATAGTATAGCATCATTTCTAACTTCAAAAACAATAGCATAGCATCATTTCTGACTTCAGACACAATAGTATAGCATCATTTCTAACTTCAGACATAATAGTATAGCATCATTTCTAACATCACACCCAATAGTATAGCATCATTTTTGACTTCAGACGCAATAGTATAGCATCATTTCTAACTTCAAACACAATAGTATAGCATTATTTCTGATTTCAGACGCAATAGTATTGCATCATTTGTAACATCAAACAAATAGTATAGCATCATTTATAACTTCAGAAACAATAGTATAGCGTCATTTCTAACATCACACACAATAGTATAGCATCATTTCTATCTTCAAACACAATAGTATAGCATCATTTCTAACTTCAAACACAATAGTATAGCATTATTTCTGATTTCAGACGCAATAGTATTGCATCATTTGTAACATCAAACAAATAGTATAGCATCATTT